GAGAGAGAGAGAGAGAGAGAGAGAGAGAGAGAGAGAGAGAGAGAGAAGTGGTGCAAGGCACAAAATATTCACCATGGAAATCATGGTAAATATGTAAAGTACTGTGCATATATAGGAATATGTTATTGTTTTGGAGGAAGATGGATTAATTTATCCTTGGGCATAATAGCACTTCTCCACTGAATATTCCTATTAAAGTAAAAGAAAAATACTGTATGTTAATTAAAAGTACATAAGGTTACTCAAAAATAACAAGAATTATAGGCTCAAATTAATAAAAATCTAAAATTAGAAAGTGATAATACAGACAACTGATGAGAGAAAGCAAGATATTATTAAAATCATTAATCACTCACAAAGCCTTTGTTATCATCAAAAAAGAAGTAAAATGTCTTCATATCTCTATAGTTGCATTTTTAAATAGTTATATTTGAAATTCTAAGATTAAATATCAAGTTTCTCGAGAAAATCAGAGAAAAATTTAACACTGAATAATAGATATATTGTATTATTTGATATGCATATGTAAAAACATATAAGCTGTAAATATCCTGTGATAATTTTAAGTAGTCTATTAAATATTTATGGTTTTCCTTATAATTCAATTTTTATTTTGAAAATATAAAAATCTCATATTGACAGGATTATTTACCGAGCACAAGTAACATGTAGAAAATTAAAATGCCTTTAAAATACAAATTTTCAAAATCTCAAGGGATGGTGTAATTCTTATTTTTTGAAATAGTTACCATTTTCAGTGGATGTTTGAGATTAATAATGCTCTGCTGATTATAACAAAGCTATTCCACTACAGTACTGGCTGTACATTATTTTTCCCCAGTTCTTTAAAGATTTCATAAAGCAGCAAATATTTTAAAGATACCTCTCTAAAGGATAGAATTATGAATTGTTATTGTATTACATGAGATTATGTGATGTAGTATAGTCCTCACACTAAAATATGTGAGTTCTCTATTCAAGAAGTTCACTGATGAACTTCAGCTATTATGAACACAAACAACAATAAATATTAGAGAGCATGTGGGGAAAAAGGAACACTCATACACTGCTGGTGGGACTGCAATTTGGTGCAGCCAATATGGAAAACTGTATGGAGATTCCTTGGAAAATTGGGAATGGAACCACCATTTGACCCAGCT